TCCTATGAGGCATCATTTAAAAATAGCATTATTAGAAAATATGAAGGGGCCAAAAATGTTTCGTTGTTGATGTTGATTCTTCGTTACCTATTGAGGCAAAAAGAGGAATGCGTGAAGAAAATTGCATCTATTAAATCAGGAGTCGTCACTGAAGGAACACAAACAACAGAAGTAATGAGTAAACCATGCGCAACTGATGGTCCCTTCACCCAAACAGATAGCTTTGAAACGCGAAGAGCAAAAATAGAGATTAGTAATAGTAATATGAGATATCTTAACAAGTACCTGATGATACTATCGACTAAAGTAAAAGAAATGTCCGAGCAGTTTGAAGAGTTGCGAAAGAAACGTTATACTACATTGCCGAGCACTCGCCTAACAAAATCTGTACGAACGCGGCGTTATGAAAAGCTGAACCGCAGTCTGGAGAGGATTATGGATCAGCTGAAGCATATGACGCACACTAAGCGTAAAAGTAAACAAGTTATGGCCGTTGTATCGTCTGTCGACGCATTGGCGGCACAATTTACAAAATGCGTTGAGAGTTTTAGAACAGTTTCGAAGGACTTGATCGCTAGCAGTGAGAAACATAAGCAACTACAAAGTACAGTGCCGCATAAACCAATCAACTCACAGGTTGCAGTGCAGGTGGACCTTTTCAGTGAACGAGCTCAAGGTGGTGAACAAAAGCAGCCTACCGATGAAAAGACATATACTGACTGGGTGCACGAGATGCGCCACACAAAGAACGGGCAGAAATTTTTAGATAGAGTAAAAATTGAGAAACTCAGCTTTTTAAATTAATAACTTTATAATATTTTAAAATTGTGATTAGATCGAAGCTTCACTCAAAAAGGCACTAAATAGACAACGTGAGCTTTTGAGAAATGAATCAGAGGAAAAATTGCAGCATCAAAAAGAGTTACTAAAAATACAATACAAGGAAAAGTTAATGGAGGTAATATTAACGTAGCCATGTACATAAATTAGTGACTACATTTCATTGTGACTTCTTTGTTTGTTTATCTCCAGCATGTTAGCCGTCTTCCAGCATATGATTGCTCTACAGAAGCGCGCAAGCTTAACGAAACTATAGGACAGCAATTACAAGAATTCGAAACTCGTCACGCGGTGTTATTGCAGAAAATTCAAGAAGCTAATAGCTTTGGAGCAACGGAATGTATTCCAGTGGGTAATGCGACAAGCGAAATGACTGAAGAAATCGTGCGAAGAGTTGTTAAAGAAATGGTAATTACACCTTACATTACAATTACACCTCGCAGAGATATCATTCATTTACTTTAAGACGGGTATCCTTCAGAAAATTAGAATTTTAATTTAATGATGCAGAAATAGTAATTATAGAGGCGTTTGACACCGTCTGTCATTCCACGCTACTAGAAGTCATTAAGGCTTCCTCTCTCCCATAAGGATTCAAACGGTAGCACGGCTATCTCTCCAGGCTTTTTCGCTTCCTCACTGCAAGGAGCTTAACACTGTTCCCAACGAAATCAACGGCGACCCTCTTCACAACCTGGACGAAGTAGGGTAGGCTTCAATTAAACATTCACGTCGATAGCACACCAATTCCGACAGTAAACAACCCCGATCTCCTCCGCTCATAATAACCGCAAAAACAACAACGCACAGACTTGTCAGAACGCCGCACTCCGGACAGCGACAGGGTGCCTTATGATGTCGCCTGAGCACCACCTACACAGCGAGGCCCAAATGCTTCCCCTAAGAGAGGACAATAAAATACTCTGTAATCAGTTTCTGGTGGGGTGCACTGAAGTGAACACCTTAACAAACCCTTGCTAGAGGAGGAGCCTCTGCTCAGGCACGTTAGGGGCCAACTATTCATTTATAAAGACACTGTCTAGACCTTTAATTGACCAACCGATCCACCATTCATAGTCTGGATACTGTAGCCGCCTTAACAAATACCTGTCCAGACTCAACCCCAATATCCCCAACGAGTGTCCGGCATGTGGATACTCCCCACACGACACCAACCACCTCTTCATATGCCAGCTCAATTCCACTCAACTAACACCCCTCTCCCTTTGGTCCGACCCTATTGAAACGGCCTGTTTCCTGGGCTTACCATTAGTTGAACTTGATGACAACGATTGTACGGATTAGTAGTTCCGCTACAACAACAACAACACTATGTTGAGAAAACTGAAAAATTTAAACGCCTTTTTTGAGTCTTCATAGTCTTTTATTTTATGATCGATATGAAAAATCATGAAGGGGCGCTAATTTTTATATATGGATCTGTGTTCATATGGAGTAGTAGTTTATGTTGAAAGGCTTGCTTTGGTATAATGCGGCATTCACAGCATACGATTGCGAATGACTCACTGGCGCCGAGCCGTTGAAGAAATAAACGTTGGGCAAATAAACGTGCAAAAAATAGTTCCGATACTAACAAGCCAATATTCTTATTAAGTCTCATCAAAAAATTCCTTGTCGTTTAAAGGACATAAGCTACTATTCCATACGAACACAGATATGTACTTGTTTATATGTATTCCGCTTTTAAGGAACCTAAAACAAATCCAGTCGCACCTATTTGCTCCGATCGACGCAAAGAGCATTCAGCCCAAGCTGCCAGAACGCGTGATCCCCTTATCAAGGATGTAGTAAATACGCAAAAGCAACTGCAAAAAATGGTAAAAAGCATAACGCAGCAAGAACGTAACGTCGACCAAATCGTCCACGATGCGAGGTAAGTAAAAGATCGATACATATTTAGAATCCTGATAAGCTTGCTTAATGCGTTTCGATTTTTGTGCTTTAATAGAATGCGCATTCAAGAACTTGAAAATGAAAGCAACCAGTTGGAGTTAAATTTCCGCAATTATCTAGAGCGGCAGCGCCTACAGGCTGAGACAATGCGCGAGGTAGTGTCCAGTCTTTCCGAAAACAACCAAAAAGAAAAAGAGTGCCTGAAAGTCAGTGCTAATTACCGTGCCAATTTGAAAAATATTCGGGAATCCTCGGCGCTGAGGACAGAAACTGACCGGAGAAGTATGAAAGGAAGGTCTCGTAATAAAGCTCTAAAACCAAAAGATTCTCTAGTAGATTTCACTGACCAGGAGAATAAAAGTCCCAATCTGGAATATCGTAACGCAATTTTAGACGCGAAAGCAAAGCTATTCCAAAGTGATTGTACAGCTCCATGTGCAATCAGTGAAAAGGCTGGATGTGATGATGTAGAGCGAAGTATGGCCGGTGTTGAACAATTTTACTATAATCGAAATTTTGGTAAATTCGATTCACAGAGTAACTTGCTATCTAAAAATGCCTATACAGGTCAATTAAATCAGAAGCCATCATCACTTGTGGTGAATACTTCGAAACTAACACTTACCTCCCTTTCTACGCTTCCCCTCACCCTAACAGACATAACTTTTAGCATCGACACTAACACATTGAGCGCAAAAAGTAATGGAGCTCCGCTTGAAAAAAGTTATACAATGCTTCCGAATACTCCACAAATAATTATGCGAAAATCTGCGCTTCACAGTGAACAACGTTCTCTAACTACAATCAGGGATGCTGAAGAAGCAATAAATACGAAACCATTGTCACCATTATCAGATGCAGCTGTTGCGACAGTAATAGCACAAACAGCAACGGCGTCTACTGTTGCAGGAGCTGCTGCTGCCAATGGTGAATGGGATATAAATGACATGAGGCGCTTCCGGGAAACTTTGACGAAGCAATCGGAATCTGATACGTCAACTTCCAATAATGACGATGGAATCCTAGTAAATCAAAGTATCAGTGATCTTAGTAAGAATAGCAGTGATAGCATCGGACGTGCGGTAGGAAGAAGAACTCATTCAAACTCGAGCCTACAGCGCAGCAATGAACGGCTGCTGGTGAGTGGCGAGAAAGACACAGGCGCTTTTTCGGGTAAGCCCAGTTCAACAACGAATCCAGTCACAACTTCAACAAAGTTGGTAGAGACCATGGAACGAATGCATCGGATTTTTACTGAAACCACGACGAACGCAACGGAAGAAAATCATCCACAAACACAGGTGCAAATGCAACAAAAACAGGAACTCAAACAGCGACGGGAAGTCAACAATCAACACCAGCATAGGAACCATTTGAAGTCAACACTTAAAACTCAGGATACCAGAAAAAATATCCGCCCGTTGAGCGATGAACCAAGCACCTCAGCAGAAGCTAATGCTAAAGCAGCGGGGAACAGGAAGAGTCGAACGGAGAAAAAACCACAAACCTCACAATGCATGGAGCAGTCCACTAATCAACCGTTAAACACATTTACCCCCACCGAAATTACGGCGGACGACGATACGGCGAAAACAACTGGTGATGGTACAGAACCGCAATGCTACAACATTACTGTTGGCAATGCTGTAAATAACAATGAGGCATTAGCTCCAACAATTTCTTCTACAACTTTTTCCATATGCCTGGAGGATAATCTGAAGGAAGTTGTTAGTGTGTCCTCGATTGAAATCGCCAGCATGGTCGAGGCAGTCGATGAGGAAATCGAATTGGATGAATTGGTATCCGATGTAGACGACGAAGAAGAGGAAGAGGAAGAGCAGGAGGAGGAAGAGGAACCTATGGGCGGCGTAAAAATAAGCACTGACCCCATACTTGCCATTGAAAAGGTTTCAGGTGTTAGTACTAGTTCCAGTAGCGCGCTAAGCATGTCACACGGCGGCGGAATAAATACCCGAATGCATAGCGATAGTGGCAGCGATTTCTGGCGGTAGGAAGGTGTTAATAAAAATTGCATAGATTACGGCTTAAACAAAATACTTTTGATCAAAACTTTACAAGGATTAAAAAAGCAACCGTAGTTAAAAATTTAACTAGCTTATGATAAACTATTTTAATTTAAGTTTTGATACCTATCTATTTTTAAAAGATTCTAAATACATAATTGAGTAAGTGTTAGATAAAATTTAATTAGAAATTATTTGTAGCTACTTACCGATGACAATAAAGTATGTATAAATCTGTGTGCTTTTACCTTAAAGTAAAAAAAAAGTTTTATAAGTATCTAAAAAACGTAGATTCAAAGCATTTCTACATAGGCACCATAATTGAATAATAGCCGGTTTCACCAGAAAATTAAGTTGAAAATGATTTTTTTATTTTCTGTCAATTTCCACATAAAACTCAAAAAATTAAATTATTTCTACTTAAATCAATAATAATAACATTAATAATAGATTGCCGTTTACACATAAGTGTTTGGCTGAGTTTCTGCGATTTGTGACGTGCGCCTTGATGTTGTCACACAAAGGGCAGGGACCTACAGTTTTACGCCGACTCCGAACCGCGACTGTATTTTTATAAGAAGTTATATCTTAACTTTTTTTTTTATTTTGACCGAAAAAATTAAAGTCAATTTGTAACTTTTATTTTTGACTGAAAACATATCGGTGGAAAAATAACGATTATTTTTTTACTTTTTTGAAAAAAAGCATAACCGTTAAGGTCCCTGGTTTATTAATTAATTTTTAGGAATTTTCACATAAAATACAGTTCATTCCCTGACAAAACCTAAGCTAAAAATTTTGTAGAACACTGAAAAAATTTATAAAATTTTCATCAAAATTGCGAACTTTTTTCTCGGAAGTGTTGAAATTTTATTGAGTATGCATTTTATAGCCCATCCAATTTTAGTGCAATAATGTGCAAGTTTCAAGTGATTAAAAATTACCTTTGATTTTTTGGAATTCTTTTACCGAAGGTGTTGCAGTTTTCTTCCATTCATATAACACGGTTTCGGTAACGTCGACAACGATGTTTCACCGGAGATTAGTGTAAACCAGGGGCTCTATTCTGTAACTGTGAGAAAATGTAGTGTACACCGAGTTCAAAACTCACAACCAAAAACTCACCGACTAAAATTCAGTGAGTTTTTCGGAAGAGAAGTGTACAGAATTTTGACAGCTAAAACTCATTCTCACTCTTCCTGAATCGCAAAATGATGAGTGCGCACAATTTTCAGTGTACACTTGAAAACTCACAGTTACAGAATAGAGACCCAGGCTTTGAGCAACCGGCCCTAAGGGATATGAATGTTAACCGAGCCAGTTTGAGGGAAAAAATGCGGCATATTTTCTTAAGCTGGACATGTTTGGAAAAGCTCTAAGGGCCGGGTACTCAATGTTTGGATAACACTAATCTCCGGTTAAACATAGCTATCGACTTTACCGACACCGTGTTATATGCATGGTGGCGAAAACGTCGATAATGATGTTAACCGATGATTAGTGTCAATCAGGCTTTGAGCAACCGGCCCGTAGTCTATTTTGGATAAGTAAGAGTTTAACCTACCTCAATATCCAGAACGTAACTGCTAGAGTGTCGGTATATGAGGGTGAGCCGAAACAACTAACCTAACCAATGCATCTCCTTAAAAATACCTATTTACTGAGAAGAAAATTCTCTCATTTCAAAAAATTTGTAATCTAATTTTTAAAAGGGGTCGGGGGCATTTGAGATTTTCCATTTAAATAACAT